CTTATCAGAGAGTTCCAATGCTGTTTCTTCCTCAGGGATGTGTTCTGGGTCTGTATCCTGCTCCCTTGTTTCTACCACTTTATTTTGCTTCTTTGTGGGACTGTGATGGTCTATTGTCTCCAAGACATTGTGATGTTGTTATATTTAGATCTCTGTTAACTGTTTGTGAAGAGCTGCTAAGGGTGAGTCAGGCTTTTCTTGGTGATTGTTTATCATAGGCCTATTGGTGGAGAAGGAGGTGGTGACTTTCACTCAGTAAGTGAAGCTGCAGGAGGTGTGGGTATAGTTATGTCGTATGGGGACTTTTGCTGTCTCCCACTCAGTTATGCAAAAATAACAGTTGAATAACCATCAAAAAAGGAAAAGCAAATAGACAAAAACACACCTTGTAATCACACAGGAACAGTAACCAAAAAAGAGAAAAGGGAAAAAACAAAACCAAAACAAAACAAAAAAACACCGCAATATCTGGGGAGAGGGCAATAAGAGAAAGAAGTAGAGAAGGAGAATAATGAAGAAAAAATGGGAAAAACACAAAAAGAAAAATAAGGAATGGGGTTACCCACAAGAAAGAGGGGAAAAAAAATTGGAACCAGGAGCAGGGAAAAGAAAAAAAGCTGAAAACTAGAACCTAGGAAGGGAAGAATAAAGAATGATAATAAAAAGGACAAAAGTAATAGTAATAGTAGTAGTTTTAAAACAGACAAAAACAAACTAGAAAAAAGAAAAGAGAAACAAAAAATCTGGACAGGGCAGGGAAGGGCACCTAGACTCCATGGGAGCACACAGATTGGAATGGAATTCCTGCCAGCCTAGAAGGTGGGTGGGAGTGAGGGATGGCTGCATCTCCATTCACCAAGAGGGCGTGGGGTATAAGAGTAACAAGGGGAATGTTGCACCTTTCTAGTAGTCCGTGTGTGTGGGATGTCTTTGTGGTTCCTGGCAAGCAGACCCTGTTCTTAAGTCCCTGGAACCTGGGAGAAAGCTGTTGCTTTAAATATCCAAAATGGTCAAGCCGCTTGTAAACATTCAAAATGGCTGCACCCTCCAGACAGGCAAAAGTCCACAGCTTAGCTCACCTTCCTCTTCTCTGCTACCCCTTTTATTCCCCAGTCACTAGAGCAGTCCTCTGTGAAGTCTATGGCTAGCAGGGCTGATTTTTAGGTTAATTCTTAGGTCTTACCACCACTCGGCAATATCCAATCTGTCTGTGCTGTCAGGAGCGCTGCCAGACCGCAGCTCCATATGTCTCCTTTTTTGGTATTCTCATGCAAATTATTCTGCTAGTTGGAGTTTAGTCTATTTCTATATCCTTCCCTTCAAAGCTCAGGGGTCCAGGATTATCTTCTGTATCTGTGTTACTTGCTTCCCCTTTTCTTTGTTGAAGAGGGTCTGTGTAGTCTTTCTGCCTATTCCGCCATCTTACCGGAATTTGTAGTTTTTGTTTAACTACTTGTTCAGGATGTGTGATATACTGCACATGGTGATAGGTGAATATGGAGTTGAATAAGGTATTATGTCTTTCCAGTGGCATTTATTGTAGAGCAGCCAGCCAGCTCTGGCCAGGCTGCAGTTCTCCAGATAAGGCAGCTCACCTGCCCAAGGCAAAGTAGGACTGTAATATTCCCTCCTTGAGTCTCTGCGCTCTCACTGATGTAACACTGAACCAGCATCTCTCTTAGTTGAGAGGGTGATGGTTCAATCTAGGGTTCTAGGGCCAAGGCTTATTCCATTTCTGTCCTTGGTTCAGTGTGTGATGGTGAGCAAGTTGCCTTTCCTTGTGAATAACCTTAGTTTCCTTAACTTTAAAATGGGGCCAGTCAGCAAGCCCAGGAAGGGCCTTGGCCAGGGCAAGGCTCTGCTAATCACCCTGGCTCCCACTCTGGGTCTCCATCCCTACTCCCCATTTGTTCCACCCTTCCTCAAATGATCCCTACATTCTTTGCTGACTGAAACTTTTCCTCCTTCCCCTTCAGAAAGTGTACCCCTGAGGTTTACAATGCTTGTCCTCTCTATTTGTCTGTCAAGGAGCAAGTATGTGGCCTGTGTGGGAATTTTGATGGCATCCAGAACAATGACTTCACTAGCAGCAACCTCCAAGTGGAAGAAGACCCTGTGGACTTTGGAAATTCCTGGAAAGTGAATCCACAGTGTGCTGACACCAGGAAAGTACGTCTGAGTCTGTGTGGACTGATCCTGAGAGTCCTGCTTCCTGAATGTATCCCACATTCCCAGTGGTGCTGGGCTGGGGCATGTGGGTATGAACTGCTAGTGGTGGCTGGGGAAGAGGACCTCTGGACCCTGTGGGTTGAGCACCCATCCCGATTGTCTGACTGTTGTCTGGTCTATCTGTGTACTTCTGTCCCACCTCCCAGGTGCCTCTGGACTCTACTCCTGCCACTTGCCACAACAATATCAGAAAGCAGACGATGGTGGATTTGTCTTGTAAGATCCTGACCAGTGACCTTTTCCAGGACTGCAACAAGCTGGTGAGGGCCTTAAGGGTAACTGGAGGCAGAATAGCTCTAAGGGCACTCAGAGCCCAAGCTTCTAATGTGGGAGCCTTTGAAATAACATGCAGCTTTTTAAAGAGCCTGGTTGCACAATGGTTAAGTGCTTGGCTACTAACCAAAATATTGTCAGTTCATATCCATCCAGTAGCTCTTTGGGAGAAAGAGTTGGTGATCTGTTCCTGTAAAGATTATGGCCAAGAAAACCCTATGAGGCAATTCTACTCTGTCACATAGGGTCATTCTAAGGTGAAATTGACCAGACGGCATACAACAATAGGCAACTCTTTAGTCCTTTTCTTGGCTTCAGTGGGGAAACAAAAACAATAATGGACAGTTTTTGAGGAAAGCAATGCCTGAAAAAACACTTTTCTTCTACACAGTGTGCAACTTTTTTTTTTATCTGCCAACACTTTTGGCATCAGTCTCAGGACTTGTTCTTCCACTGAATAATCTTATCTCAAACTTGAGCCAGGGAATTTCCTTTTCCTTTTACCCCTTGGTATTTCCAGACCTAAGCACTTTGCCTCACAAAGCCTTTCAGTTTTCAATTCTTCTTCCACAGAAACTCTTTTCTGGCCTTACCTAGACATTTCATTTTATGACTCCTTTTTGTCTTTATCTCAAATGATGGTAAGGAATTCCTAATACAGAGTTGAATGCAAATTTCCCTCTTTCTGTATTTATCTTGTATACACACACACACACACACACACTCACTCAAGTATGTGTGGATATGTGTGTTTATTATTGTATATGTGTACACACAGATACATAGCCATGTACATGCACATACTGCTGTGTAGCATGGCCACCATAGGAGTGACTGGTTAAATACATGTATCTCAGATCTCTTTGTATCTATACGATGATTTTTAGTTCTCTGGTAGTGTAGTGCCTAAGCCACTTGACTGCTAACCAGAAGGTTGGCAGTTCAAACCCACCAGCCACTCCTCGGAAGGAAGATGAGGCAATCTACTTCTGTAGTAATACTGTCTTGGAAATCCAAGGAGGGATCGCTATGAGCTGGGTCCGACTTGACGGCATATAACATCAACAACGAACAAGAACTTCAAAGGATGCTTATGATTCCCTGACATGGTGGAACCACTGGGCATCTAAACTGGAAGAGGGAAGACATTGAGAGGAGACAGGGAAATTAGGGCAGTTGGAACCTCTTAAAAACAGTGACTTCACTTAATGTTTGAATTCATTCCTAAGAGAGCTTCCCTGAAGAATGCTCATGTGTGTAGTGGTATGTTTTGGGAGCCAGAGAAAGAGAGAAGTGCTTACTATAATTATGTATAGATGGCAGGCAGGCTACCACTCCAAGTATACCTGTGATCGGGGTCCAAGAGTACCTGGTTCTGCCCCACATCCAGCATACTAGTCCCATAGCACCTCAGTGAGCCAACCTTAGTGGGTCTTGATGTATTTTCTTATTCTCTTTGCTGAATTGAAGCAAGGAAAGGGAGTGACCAGATGTGTGAGTTTTTCTGTTTATATAAGCACAAACACCCATGAGGTTTGGAATGGTTTAAGGGGAGGGATAGATGACTGGTAGGTAGACAGATGAATAGAAAGAATATTCTTTGAATAATTCTCAGGCACCTTATATTATATGAAAGGCTGGCAATCTGCTTTATCCAAAGTTTCTTGCTGGAATACAAATTAGAACCTAGGACGACTGCTTGTTACCCATTCCCTCTTTGGGACCACTGAACTCCATTTCTCCCTCTACCCTGTAGCCTCCTTTCCTGTACTCTCACGTGTGAACATTCTCACCCAGACGAAGAGACAGAGTTCCTATGTCCCAGTCCAGGCCTAGGCCACTCTGAGGCTTCCTTTGCAGGTGGACCCTGAGCCATACCTAGATATCTGCATTTATGATACCTGCTCCTGTGAGTCCATCGCGGACTGTGCCTGCTTCTGCGACATCATTGCTGCCTACGCCCAAGCATGTGCCCAGCATGGCAAGGTGGTGACCTGGAGGACGGCCACACTGTGCCGTGAGTCCTTATATCCCTCATGACCTTCATCTGCCTCTCTCTACATGTGTTAGACTTAAAGACTTACAGGGTACAGGAGGACACCTTCATGGGAGAGAAGGTAGAAACCTAGTATGGGATTTGGTGGCTCAGAGTTGAAGAGAACATAAAGAGACTGATGTGTATAAGGAGTGGGTATTATGGGAGTGTTCTGGTTACCTCGTGCTGTTCTGCAGGAATATATACCATAAATGGGATGGCCTTAACAAACAGGAGTTTATTCTTACAATTTGGAGGCTTTAAGTCCAAGATCAAAGTGCCAGGCTCTAAGGGCTGAGTGAAAGCCTCTCAACTTTGGGGTCCAGCTCTGCTTCCTGCTCTCGGCCCACTGGAGCAGAGGCATTTCTTCACTCAGACAGCTGCTGGCTGCTGAGGCTGAGAAGCCCCAAGGTTGACAAGTAAAAAGGCACAGTCCCGATGTTACCAAACCACACGGCAGGCCATTAATTTAAGTCCATTGTAAGTCCCAAGGTCGGGAGAGCATAACAGGCAGCTGAGCAATGACACGGCTACATGCAGGGTCCAAGCGTGCCATAGGCTAGAGCCCATTCTCAAAGCTTCTCCTTATATACGGGAAGCAGACCACATCCCAAAGGCAGCTACTCAGCTGCTTGTGGTAGATCCCACCATGGAGTTGATTGCTAGCCTCATCATGGGGAATAACTACCACCAGCTGCCCAGCCACTCAACCAGGCCCAGCCAAGTTGACACACAAACATAGCTACCACAGGGAGAGAAGAGTTAAGGATTCAAAACATTAATATGTGGAGACTTTTCTTCCAGAGAAATTCTGGAAAAGGGAACACTGATGAAGAGAAGGAAGTCAGTATACATCTTTAATTAGACACCATCATATTTGTCAATATGAGTGATCAGCTCATACATTTATGCAGAGCTTTCCTTCTGCAGGAGCAAGCAGCTAATCATTTTTATATACCTATGGAAAACCAACTCAGGGCCACTTGGCTCCTGGTGTAGGTGCTATAGAAATCAAGAAGCCTTTAATATTGGCAACTCTCTGTGCTAGAAAAGTCCTATAGCTCTTAGTTCTCCAGTGTGAACATCATGTCCCCAAAAGCCATCACCACCATTCATCTCACTCCATCTGTTCTGGATCATCTATGCTGTCTTGGCTTCTTGGGTTGCATAGGGTTGCCTGGTGCTTGAATGGTCATGGTCCATTTCTTCTGTCTCAACAGCCCAAAGCTGCGAGGAGAGGAATCTGCGGGAAAATGGATATGAGTGTGAGTGGCGCTATAACAGCTGTGCTCCCGCCTGCCCTGTCACTTGTCAGCACCCTGAGCCACTGGCATGCCCTGTGCAGTGTGTGGAGGGCTGCCATGCATACTGCCCTCCAGGTAAGGCCTCAGCTAGGCAGGTGGAGCACTCAGCTTCTGGGAGAGGCACAGGGTGGAGGGACGGGATTAGTTGTTAGGAAGGGTGCTTCCCTGTCCTGTCTCATCTCAGCCTCTGGCCAACAGTGTCCTGTTCCCAACTCTGTAGTCTTAGATTCTCTATCCATGGACCTTTTCATTAAAGCTAGACCAGCTATGATTTTTGTCAAATTGAGCTCCTATAAAATGCTTTTGTGTGACTCTTTCTGGGTTTGGAGTCCCCGGGTGGCATACCTGATTAAATGCTCAGCTGCTAACTGAAAGGTTAGAGGTTTGAATCCATTCAGATGCATCTCAGAAGAAAGTCCTGGTGATCTGCTTCTGAAAAAGTAGCCATGGAAAACCATATGGAGCCCGGTTCTGCTCTGACACACATGGGCTTGCCTTGAGTCAAAAATTCACTTGAAAGCGACTAGTTATTGGTTTATTATCTAGAGTAGCACTTTCTGATAGAACCTTCTGCAATGATGGAAATTCTCTATTGAAATATGACTCCTGTGACTGAGGAATTTAATTTTCAATCTTACTTAGTTTTACTTTATTTAAATTTAAATAGCCACATATGGCCAAGGGCTATTAAATTGCACAGAGCAGATCTAGAGCTATCGAATATATTCTGTAGATGAGGTTTAATTTGTCTTGGGCTTGGTGGAGGTGAGGTAGGGAAGGAGTACACATTTTCCAGTTTTTCAGAGGGATAAATCAAGGTCCAAAGAAAGAAGGATCATCTCCAAGTGCTGAGGTGACCATTGGGGGAAGTAGAATTAAACCCTGAGCTGGCTTATGGGACAAGCCCCCTTAGTTAGAGGTGGAGCCTCCTTGTGGGCAGAATGGGGGTCTTGTCTTCTTACAAGAGTTTGTTGTGCAGGGAAGATCCTGGATGAGCTTTTGCAGACCTGCATCGATCCCGGAGACTGCCCTGTGTGTGAAGTGGCTGGTCGGCGCTTACCCTCGGGAAAGAAAGTCACCTTGAACCCCAGTGACCCTAAGCACTGTCAGATCTGGTAACAGACTCTCCGGTTGTTTGAAGTGATAA